TAAAATGTTACATTCATGTTGAGTTTTGCAGTTTCTGTCTTAGTCAGTTAAATAACATGCTGCTGTCATTTTTCACAGCTCTGATGTTGCTATTTTCAAATATCCATTACTGTAAGAAATGCCCACTGCTCTATATTGGTTAGTTATTCCCCAGGTGCACAGTATTTATATTATAAAAACACTTTACTGTGCAGTATTTTATTTGTTTATTTTTATTTATTTATTCATTTAACTCTTCACTTTTATGTTATTTTTTATACACTTTTTTCTAAGGTTCACATTTGTGTGATGACTTTTGCTATAATTGCATACATTGTGGGACAATAAAATGATTTTCTATTCTTTTCTATTCTATTCTGTTCTGTTCTGTTCTGTTCTGTTCTGTTCTGTTCTATTCTATTCTATACAAGAACTTAAATCCATTCAAATTACAGTTGGTGGCGCTAGTGTACCGTTATGTTACTTGTCAGCCACCAACAAAAAGCACACGAAGAAGACGAAGAAGAAGAAACAAAACAGTAGAGAGTGATCGATTGCCGCGTAGACGATCTTTGAGAGTGTGTCTCCGCGGTGCATTATGGAGCGTGTTCTTGCTGCTGTCCTCATCACCCCGGCTGGCTAGCATGGAGGGAGGCTTGTTTTGGGACTAGAGCAGCCTCAGCTTTTAACTCATTAGAGCCGATAGTTACCAGGAGCTGTCCACCTTATCTTGCTGTTGTTTCTGTTAGTTTATCAGGGTAGTAAGTGGTAAAAGTTAGCACACACAGGCGGAAGTAGGAAACATTTTGGAAAGATTGAGAGGGAGAGCCAGTACATGTACACTGCTGAGTTCTTATTGCAATATTTTAAACTCATTTTTACTACCTGGAAACTTTGAGATCAAACAAGTTTGGACCACTTAATACCAATTAATAAATGCAGCATTAATAGATTTTTCTTTTGCTGATGCTGTCCTGTATGATCTAAAGCATGTCAGTCTGTGTGAAGCTGCACAGACTGCAGCTGCTGGGAAGCTGCATGAACTCCTCCAGGATGGCATCCTTTGGGAAACCACTTTTCAGCTCCTTCTGCTCTCTAACCTCTCAGTGTGTTCAGAATCAAACCCTCATCCTCGGATCTCAGCAGCTGAACCTCGCAGTGCTCAGCAGAAGACTCTGTGATGTTGGTTCTAATCCCACATGGTGCCAGAGGGCAGGTCTGCACAGATGGAGTCACTCTGCTGGACTCAGGAAGGAGATCCTGCTGCAGGGAGGAGCAGCCTGGCCTGGTAAGATTTACACAGATTACCTCAACTTACCTTGATTACAGGAACCTGTAACACATAAAGGGTCTAATAGCCGGAATTAGTTTAAAAACATCTATAAATCTCCCCTCTGCCAATAATCACCTTAAACTCTTAGCAGCATACCACTTATTTAGTGTCACTTTACTGAATTTATTATTATTGCATGCCTTATGTAAGTATAAGATATATGCTTATACAGTATCTTATACTTTATTTCCAAGAAATAATTCCCTATAAGTCTTGATAAATAGATGGGAATACGCAGGGTTCCTGCAGATCATTAAAAAGTCTTAAAAGGCATTGAATTCTTCAAGGTAAAATCAAGGCCTTAATTGGTATTAAAATGTCTTAAATAAGTCTTTCGTAGGTCTTAAAATTGTTACCACATCAGAAATAGGATTTTATTTTTGTAAGCCACATCACACATTAAAATAAATGACCGTCCTGATAGCGGAACCGATATAAATGATGTTGTGGCCGGACCTTGGAGTGATGTGCAATTAACTTTTTATCTGGACAACATGGGGAAGTTTTAAATTAAGTGAAAATAGGCTATTCATCTAAGAGTTTCCTGCATGGCTAAAAGCACTGCCAGGGAAAGTAGATGAAGCACAATGGGAATCAAGGCAGTGGAGACACATGTTTGAAGCGTGAAAATCAAAGCATCAAAGTTTTGGAGAAGCAGCAGATATTTCTCCGTTCTGTTCCACCCTTGTCTCTGCAACGCCTCCACAGCATCTCCCAGCGCCAGTAGAACCAAATCTCCCGATAATGTTTGGCGGTACGCCGACGATGAAAGTAGAGGGATTGAGTAGGGAACAAAAAAAGTTAGTGAATTCAGCTCAATAGTTGTTAGAAATAGTGTTACACCGATACCAGTATCGGACAGGGCCCCGATCCAGCACTAAAACGGTGGTATCTGTATCGGTGAGTACTAACAAATACGGCACTGATACCATTTTGAGAGCCAAAAGTTTATTCAACTATTGTCACCCATTCCAGGTAGGCAATAAAACTGGATTCACTTTGTATTAGTCTTTTTCCTGCCTCACAAAGGTAGGCAGAAACTTGATAAAGCCATGATGGCAATTATTTTACATCCAAGTAGTATGCAGTTCTTCATATATTCACACACATCAATTTCAAACAGATGGTATTGGTATCGGCCAATACTGCACAGCTAGGTATTGGTATCATATCGGGGCCAAAAAATTGGCATCGGCGCAACACTAGATACAAATATATCTGTTATTTGTGCGTTTTTAGCTTTCTTCCTGTATTGAAAGTTTTTCAAAATTCGAAACATATCTACCGGGCCAGACAGTAATGGTTTATGTTAAAATAAACATTTGGGGTAAATTTGTCGCTACCAGGTTTTTCTTGTGTTTATTGTAAAGTTAGTCCTAAATTTTTGTCTTTACGTGGCATTGAAGTAAACTTCCCTTATACTGTAGGAACCCTGATACATCTTTCAAGGTTTTTTTTAAATTTTTTTCTACCGTATTTGTTTAATGTCTCTCCAGCTTCATTCTGCAGTGTTTGCTTTATAAATTAGGAATTGTGAATAAATGAAAAACTAACGAGCTTGAAAAACTATAACATTAAATAACTAGTCATGATTATGTGTATTTTCAAAAACAAATGCAAGCCCTGTTAGAGTTAATCATCGCCTCTACACCTAGTTTTTTAGCTGCATCCTCAGTAGTTATTATGTTGGAGCCAGAATAGGAGATTTTGTTTTGCTTATAGTGTTTGGCTCTGACCAATGAATCAACTAGGCATTTAGATAAAACAATAAAGGAACTAGTGTAGTGCTGAATATAATATTCGATTTTTAGCATCTTATTAGCAGTCTATCACAAGACAATTAATAGACAATTTAATAAATAACTCACAGTTGACAGAAAATCCCAAATATCTTAAAACTCTCTTTTCTGAATCAAGGTCCATATCCACAAACTGACTTTTCTGCAGTCATGCAGATTTATCATGTGCTTATAACATGGAATACTTTTTCTAAGCCCATGGATAGATCTGCATGCTTACAGACAAGTCAGTCTGTGGATATGGACCTTGATTAAGAAAATAATATTTAAAAGTTCTGATGAGTGAACTGAAGCTGTTTTAAACAGAGCAGTGGATTAGGATTCTTTTTGTGTTTTATTAAAAATAAAAAAAAAGGTTAACTGGGGATAGGGGCTGCAAAGACGAAGGCAAAAACACCAAATCATTTCTGAGTGATGGATCAGCAGTTCGCCTCCTCACCAGTTTCCACCCATGTTTTGTATCGCATGTGTAGCCTTTTTAACCTGTGTTAACCAATCATTTTACATAATATATACCCAACCACTGCTTATTATTACTTTTTCTTGATTTTAAATAATTTTTAATGGAGATTTGAAGTGTTTTTTTTTTTTTTTTATAATTATTGGAAATGGTACAAAAAAGCATACATATAAATGTTTAGACTGTATTTTTATTTTTTTTTATTTTTTTGCATAGGTGATTTAAAAGAAAGCACCTCATTCACACCTTATTATTGCTCATCTATGGCTGAAGAAGTGTCTTTTATAACACAGCTGTGCTTTTCCTTCCCCAGTGTCCTTGGCACGCTGCAGAGCCACCGATGCTCCTCTGTCCAGCGTGTCTCCAACCTTCATTGTGGTGAGATAATCGACACTTTGAACAGTTTGTATTATAGCTGTTGCTTCTGTTGTGCTTTTAAACTCCACACCATGATGCTTTTTGAAAATCACTCATTGGACCACACTGATGGTAGATCTTGAAGATTTCCGTGTTCTTTGGTGAAATAGATTTAAAAGCAGAGTTCCTCTGTTGACATCCTGGTCGCTGAATATCACTAATGAGTTTCCTGTTTTATTTAACAGATGAAGTTTGATCAGGAGGGAAATGTCACGTCGTTTGGTAAGTGTTAGAAATTGTCTTCCATGAAGACTGTTAATGTAACTTATTGAACTGCGCTGTGCTTCATCAGGACTGAGCAGTGAAGTTATTCAAATCAATGTTTATACACATTTATACTCCATATTTGATGAACCCAGAAATAAAGACTGTTGTTACATCCTAAACTTTTTCCTTTTTTATGTTTTAAACTGCATTTTGTTACGTTGGGTCTTCATTTTATATAACAACACAAAGTAGTGCGTAATTATTAGGAGTGTGGGAAAAAAATGACTTGACGATATATCATGACAAAACATTTTTATCTAAAACAATGTGAAATTGGGAAAATGGACTACGTCTGCGCTGCCACTCTGGCAGAGGGCGCCATGAGCCCTTTTTCTGTGCTCCGCCATATCTGTCACCATATCTGTTAAGTCAGTCACAGTGGAAGACGTGGACTGAATCAAACCCCAAACAACATGGTTAAAAGAACAACTCAATAATCAATATCATCTTATGAACATATACAGCACTTCCTTTTTTATTTATACATTTGATTTTGATAGCTGGGGAAAAATATTGCAATATATGGTGATACTGCAATATCGTGATAATATTGTTTCGTGACACATATCGTAACCTAACTGCTGCTAATACTTACCCCTAGTAATAATAGCAGTAGTACAGTAGTAGCCTTTTTGCACATTCTCCTCCGTGGATGGATGGATGCCTTAAAGCTGCAGCCTTCACAGACTTTTAATTGAATGTAAGTGTAGACTTTGACTAAATTAATAGAACAACAAAATAATTAGATCCATTCTGTTTTACTGAAGGTTTCAGATTGTCTGTCGGTAGACGACCCGGCATCCCAGTCTAAAGCTTTTTGCTGCCTTCAACTCTGAACAGTTTCCCTCCCTTCTGAAACAAAGCATTCCCACTGCATGATGCTGCCACCCTCATGTTTCACAATGGAGATGGTGTATTCACTTTTATCTTATTTGAAAGGGCTTTGTCTTCTGCTTGTTTCCTTTTCCACCACGAGACTTCTCGTCTTTTAGCTTTCTTTCAACATTTGCCTTTTTCTTCCAACTCTTCCACAATGAAGAGACTTGTTAGCTTAGCCTGGTGGTTTCAGTAGACAGCAATGTTTGGTTAGGAACTGTCTTTTATTCATCATTTTTAGATAGAAAAGAGGCTGCAAATAAGTGCATAAAGCACCTATTCAGTTTTTTTTATATTGAAGCTTTTTTTGCTCCACTTTGTGTTATTTTTAATTTACATACAATTCCAATAAAGTATATAATTTGCAGTTAAATTATGAAACAGTTTTGGGGGCATAAACATTTTGTACGATGCAACATATATAATACTAGTATCTGAAATAATATCTCCTTTAATGTGTTTTTATTTGACAGAAAAGAAAAAGACAGAACTTTGTCAGGAGCTGCAGCTTCAGGCCAGAGACCTTCGCTTCCAGCACAGCACCAGCCTCACAACCAGAAACAACTGCATCATCATACGAATGGCTGTACGTAGTCCTTTCCTTTCTAGACATTCTCTCTCAATCCATGTTTATCTGTTTACTTCTCAGATACTCAATACCAAAAAAAGGTTTACTACACCATAAATGTTAATGTCAGGACGTACAAACCTTCATAACTTGAGAAACATCATGAAAGTAGGTGGATCAACACTCTTTAGCTTGACTCACAGCTATCTCTCCACCAGAGGGCAGTCTTGAGAAGTAGAAGAAGCAAAGCCTGTCAAAGGTCATCATTTTACAGAGATTTCCCTGCAGCTCATTTTTGGTCTGGACCATTTTCACATTGAGGTGTCCACACTCGCTGCCACAACTGGGGAAAAAACAGATACAAAGTTAGTTTAGAAATTATTAGAATAAAGCATCTGTCAGGGACAGAGATAGAGGGGGGGCCAGGGGTGGCCATGGCCATCCTTAGCCAATCATTGGACACCCCTGTGGCCACCCTTACCATTTATTTCCCTCTAACAGCAAAACATTTGAATTTTTCATATATTAACAATTACTTGACAACAAATGTGACAGAATGTGAGTGTTTTATGGGGTAAAGAGAAACTGTGTCTCTGCAAGTCATCTATGAGTCTTCAGTGAAATCATAGATAAATAACTATTTTAATAAAAACATATTAAATGATCAATTTTTGTAGACATTAGTATTTGTAAATATCAATTTTATGCAGAATAATTACTGATAAAAGTAGGTAAGTATTGATGATGATGGAAAAGATGTTCGCCCCAAAACTCAAACCTGAAAAATGTTTATCCACTATACATTTTATCCAGAAAGCACAGATATTTGAATATATTCCTCTATTTGTTAGCAAATTATGTGGGAAAGTATAGAAAATATGGTTGTTCTGCTCATTAATTTTCCTGTTGGAACAGTGTAGATTGACCCTGAGGTTCTGGCCCCTATCAGCTTTTGGCCCCCCCTCAGTGTACATTGGTTAATGCCTGGCCACCCTTATTAACATTTTCTGGCTACGCCTCTGGCATCTGTTTTTAAAAAAACTGTCTCTGCTAGTTTATACAGCAGTGCCAAAGAAACATATACTATAGAGATGTTTTAAGATAAATATCTATTCTCACGTGTCTTTGTTGACTCCTGTTCCAAACGCTCGGCACTCTACACACGCAGCAAGCTCCTGGCAGAAGCCTTGGCAAGCGGGGCAGTCCTCACATGTCGGGCCACTGTACGGAGGATCACACTGACACTTGCCGCAGTCACATAACCCTCTCCCACTGCACAGTATCTGGTTCCTCCCCAAACACGAAGCGGTTTGCATGGAGCAGCTGCAGTCCTCACCGATCCAGTCACTTTCACACTGACACCTTCCACATTCACACCTCCCGTTGCCTCCGCAGAGTCTGTTAGGCAGAAAGGCTTCAATGGCTGGGTGTTTGGGATCAGTTTGGAAAAGGCAAGAAATTAAAAATAATGATTTGTTGTTTTATACAAAAATCACCTGAGAACGTTTTTGTTTGCCCAAACAATCCCTTTGAAATCAATTCAACCGAAAGTTTTTGAATAAATTGATTGAAAATGCATTTTATAGCAATAGCTATGTTCTTGCATGGGATACTTTTCAATTTTAAATAAATCTACTTAAAATACATGTATTTCTAAATAGGGCTGCAACTAATGATTGTTTTGCAAATTGATTAATCTGTCGGTTATTTTTTCCTTTTAATAACCTGATAGCAAAAAGTTCCTTTAAGAAGAGTTTTTATGAAATTAAACCAGTTGAAGCTAAAAGATTTTCACTTGAAATCTGGATAGACAATAAAGGATTTTTATCTTAAATGCAAAATGTTTACATATTTTTTTTTACAATGCATGTATAATTACACTGCTTTAAGTGGGTTTCTCTATCAGCTGAAGTCATCGTTTAGTTTTTATACTCTATATACTTTATACAGTTAAGAATAAATTAATTACTAAACTAGATGACAATTATTACAATTAATCCAGTTAATTGTTTACGCCCTAATTTTAAATAATTATTTAGTTTGAGATGCTGCTGCTATAATTATGTGATATGAGGCTTTTTGCAGATATTTATAAGGAGTTACCATAAAAGGATCCCACACTGTAAAAGTGGATATTTTTCATCCTCATCAGGAGTACTCTACCTGTTGTTGAGGTGTGGACAGTTAAAATTGCTGCACTCGCAATATCGTCCACTGTACGCCTCCTTTGGATTTTCCCTTTTGTTGCACTCACAGATGCCCTCCACACAAGAGCCCCTGCCGCTGCAAACTGGCTCGTTCGGCCTGGAGCGGCACCGCTCTTCGTCTTGGTAGGAGATGGCATCGCCTTTAATCTGGCAGCTGACTCCAAAATAAGGCGTGTGGCATTCGCAATGACCATTGACCAGAGCCCCGTGGCCGTTGCACTCTGGGCTGTTTTCAGCACAGTTCCCGGTGCAGTTACACTCACCTGCAGGTAGGAAATTTAATTCAGTATGAAACATGAACCCTTTAGATCTAGTTTAGAAGCAGAGATGCTCTCAAGGCTTACACATCAATGATATCTCTAGCTTGAAGCCCTCGGAAAACCCTCTGGGTGTTATGAGAATGGACCAGGGTCCTGTTCTGTTCTGGTTTGAGGTTCCACTCTTACTGGGACACTGGCTGACTTCCACACTCACCTACATCAGAAAATGGCTATTAGTACTCTTAAAAACCCATTACACATAAGTATATATTATCTATCTAACCTGTAGGTTTCTTGGGTTATCTGTGACTATGTTGCTGAGGGTGACATTAACTTCAGCTGGTGCGTTGCTGAGGTCGATAATCAGCTCTGGTGTAGGATGGCCTGGTGCTGTGGAGATGGTGAGAGAAATGAGCTCAGGAACTCCAGGCCTCAGGTAGACAGAAACCTCCTGGGGCTCCAGAAAAACAGCTCTGGTATTATGCATCCTAGCGTCCTGGTCAGCCCTAGGAAAAAAATAAAAAAATCCTTATTCAATAAGTACCGTACCTGGGGGAATCAGGCACACTATTATTACTTAAGGGAAAATTATGCTTTAAAAACGTTTAACCGATATAAAACCTGAAAAGAGCAACCTGTGTATCAATTTCCATATAGTCTGAAGCCCCAAATAAAACCTGAGTCCAACCAAAGGCCTTCAGAAGATTTTTGGAATAATCGTCAACTAATTTAGTAATTGATTAATCGCTAACTGGAATATAGAGACTCTAAAATATGCCTTTAGCTTATAGAGAAACCCACTTAGAGCAGTAATTATATTAAAATTGCACAAAAATATTTAAACATTTAGCATTTATGATAAAGGACAGCTCTATCTAGAACCCATCAACTGGAAAAGTTTCACCTGGTTTAATTTAATAAAAAAAAGGTCTTCTTTAAGGAATCTATTCAATCCTTTTTTTTTTCTTTTTTACTCAAAGAAAAAATGAACAAAGTGCTGACTGGTATTTAAGATCTTAGTAAAATGCATCTCTTTGTAATAATGACAATGGTAAAGTAGTGTGAATAGAGGTTATACAAATCTGCAGTAGGGGCTATAAAAGCTCTTTCAGAGTTTTTCTGATGATTTATTTTTTCCAATAAAAACAATCAGGACATGTTTAGTTTATATCTCACTTGATATGCAAGTCTGTTTTCCTATGATTTGTGCAGCTAAGAAAGACAAAGACAATTTGTCAATGGAATAAGATAGTTCATGCTTGTAATAAAAATAATAACTCCATTATCTAACTTTAGGTGCATATTTGATTATTTTATTCTAAGGAAAGACGTTATTCCATCGGCAAATTCCTTTATGTAGCTGCTTAAATTAGGGACATACCGGGTATATACATAATTTAAAACATTTCTACTGATTTTTAAATCAATTTTGCAGTGTTCTTTGTGTCCATTCATCATGTTTAGTTTTACTAATCCAGGATAACATATGTAGCGTTTGATTAGTGCAGGTTGTATGTTCAAAGAGGAAGTTACAAAGGAGCTGATTTGCTGCTGTCACATATCTAACTAGTAAACTAAGGTTTGCTGCACAAGTTATGATGCTTACCGTCTAACATTCTTTAGCACCCACACTCTGCCAGTAGGGTTATAAATCTGACTTCTGGGACAGCCACTGCTCTGCAGGTGCTCTGTTGTTGCACAACGAATGTTAACACCTGGAGATGTACACCAAGCACATTCGGAGCCCGCCAGGATGCACTGGTCGCAGCTTGAGGCATATTTCAGACACCTCTGCTCTTCAGTCCAGCTGAGACTGAACTGGAGCAGCAGCAGCCAAAGGAACAGCAGCTTCACAGCCATCCTGCAGTCACAGAGGAAGGTTGGATTGATGACCTTTCAGCAACAAAATGATCCAAGAAAGCTATCAAAACTGAAATAAATCAGCATTGTTCTGACCTAGCCATACATAAGAACACAGGGACATTACCTGGCCTGTTGACACTTCTTCCTGCTTTATGAGAGCTGTAGGATCTTTTTTCTGCAGAATGTAGTGCATAGATATCAGGAACCCAGAATGCAGAATTCGTTTCTCACTGTTGCTTTTGTTTTCTGAGTCTCTGCTTTGAACATTGACCTGTTGAAGATTTTATTGATCTGGATGCTCACTGCAAATATTTACAGGTTGGACTCGACTCTTTAAAGGACATACTATAAAATGCATTGATTGCCATTATACAACACATTCGCAACAAACAATAACATGCAGAAATCCCACCATGCATACGTGTCTGTTTTCTGTATGGTGACAGAGCATGTTTAACTTTTCTCTTTGTAGTCTTTGAAAGTCATCGTGACCCCAGAGTCTCTTCTGGTGTTGGATTTTCGTGGTCTGGGTCTGGAACGGTGGCTGGTCCTGGAGCTGGCCCCACAGCTAGCATCACAGACACACTCTCTGCCCTTTGAGTTCAGAGCCCTGGAGGCCATCCTGCAGCACAAGGTTCCACATGCCTCAGACTGTTTTAAGATAACATGTTTTGTGTGTTTATGCATGCGTCTCATGGATCTGCATCAACAGGTTAACACATTGCAAACCCGACTGAACGATTTGGAACCTGTCATAATGGACACTTTGGAGTACCTCGTGGATCCTAAAATCCTTTCTGCTGATAGGAGTAAGCTGCATATTCTGCTGCAGAACAGCAAGAGGTAAAGTACTTGATCACAATGCAATGATGGAACTAAAAAACGTAGGTGGTTCATCTTTTGGTTTGATTCATTATCTCCTGTCTGGCAGCTTGTCAGAGTTGGAAACAGACATCAAAGTTTTCAAGGACTCCTTGCTGAAGATCCTGGATGAGGACGAGATGATTGAAGAATTGTGTCTCACAAAATGGACAGATCCAAGAGTTTTGTATGTTTCTATGCCATCTTATTCAAATCTCTGAATGCTTAAATCAATGACTGTGGATTTACATAGAGCTGAGGCGTTGTTTTGGCAGAAAGTTTAAAATGTATCTACCCACTACAGAAAAATGAAAGGTGCATAAGAATAAATCTGAAATGTGATTTTATCCCCCAAATGATAAACACTTGTCTGTGTGTCTGCTTCCCAGTGAGGAGAGCAGTATGGGTATCGACCACTGTGAGGAGATGGAGCTTTTACTGGAGAATTACTACATGCAGGTAGTGGCTCTTTGCAGCAGAAAAAGGGAATATTTAAGCAAATGTTTTATTGATTCATGTTCTGTATCGATAAGCGTTAAAAAAACAGAATCAAATCCACTTAATGTTCTAAACATGAATAGTCTCTGCATCCACATGCTGTATAAAGTCTCACTGAAGTTAACTGAAGCCAGCCCATCTACCGCCTAGTTGATGATTGAAATTAATAATGATTCCTTTGAGGGTTTCTTTATATGAAAAACATTTTTAGAGGAACACCACCCAAAGAATCTGTCCATTTCATACCTTTAGACCAGGGTAACTAAATAAAAATCAGCAGGGTCCGAATAAAGAAAATCAACAACCAGTTAAGGTCTGGAGACATTTTTAATTATAATCTGTTACTTTAGACAGAATTTAACACTGAAATAAAGTGAAGTGTTTATGCATCCACTAATTTAAAAATATATATATAAAATTTTTTTTTTTATTTTCTATTTTAAAACCTAAATTGTTTTTTTGAAGTAGAGAACATCATTCTTTCAGTTTGGTATATAGACAATTTCCTGTCTAACTTTTTTTTATAAAACACATTTTTTTTCTTTCCTTTTTATGGCTTAATGAGAGCAGTGGGCTTTATGCTGCCCTGCAAGGCTTTTAAACCTGGGTTTGATTGGAGACAAAGCCATTCTCAAGCACCTATCAAGATGTTCATTTAGAGCCTGGATGGATATTTATTTTTGATTCTGTTCATGGTGGAGAATCCTGCTTCACAGCAGTAGGTTGAGCCAAACATTCTCAGAATGTGCAGGGTCACCTTTAAGCATGCCATTTCACTTCTTTCACCAGTTCACCGCAGTTTTTCCAGCAGTCAACGCTTTCTCTTTTTCTCATCATCTTCTCCTTCTTTCCATTGTTTGGCTTGCCACAGGTTTGCCTAATGTGTCTAAAGGTAGCTAGCATCAGCAGCCCTGACTGACACAGCTCATTAGCTAATGCTGTAGCCAACCCCTCTGAATGTGGCAGCGGGAGGAATATTGATGATAAATCAAAGAGACGGTTAATATAAATGGTAACAAAAGAGCCCAGAAAAACTTCTAAAGAGTTTAAAGGTGAACTTGAAGCACAAGGAACATCAATATCTGATTAAACAATATCTTATTAATCTGTCTTTGTTTGAGCTAAAGTGGACATAATGGGAGCTGACCAAGGAGGACACCATAGCTGGAAACAAAAACATCTGATTGGAATTCAAACATGTTGGCAATCCACAAAGCTATATCCCAATAACAGATGAGACAGAATTTGAATTTTTCCTGCACATCAGCCCTATCTTTACAGACAGAAAAATAAAATGTATCAAGAAAAGAACACTGTCCCTAATGTGAAACATGGTGGAGGCTCTGTTATGCTCTGGAGCTGCTATGCTTCATCTGACATGGGATGTCTTGAATCTCTGCAGGGTAAAATCAAATCTGAGGACTATCAAGGGATTCTAGAGAGAAATACAGTATGCTGCTCAGTTATAGAAGCCTGGTCTCAATTGCAGGTTGTGTGTTCTTTAACAGGATATTGACCCAAAACACACAGCTAGAAACATGGCATCTGGGAAAGGGACCCTTCAAACCAGAGACAACTGGAGCAGTTTGCTCATGAGGAGTGAAAATACCTGCTGAAAGGAGCAGAAGTCTCACTGACAGCTACAGAAAATGCTTGATTGCATTGATAGACTCAAAAGGTTGTGTGCAAAATATATACTTAGGGTACCATTGTTTTTGTGAAGGCCTCTTTCATTAGTTTATTTTTTTTAAATTCGCTCTGCTGAAGCATGGTTGAAAAGCAATATCTGACTTTCAGTTGTAGATTTTCATACAATTTAAAAATATATATTATTACTTTTTCTTAGATTCAAGTTATGCATGTGACCATCATGGTTTTTCGTTCTTAAATGAGGGGTAACAAAAATTCTGTCCACGTTTGCAGTGCCATTCTTTCAACGCTCTTGAGTAAAGCAGTTTTTGTCTGCTTTTGCTCTGGGAAAGCAGCAGTGGATTTCAAGGAGGCACAATGGTTGGTGCTAAAGAAAGATTACAGATCCCAGTTAGATAATAGCAAGCTGTTGAACACCCAGCTGGTATCCCATTCGGTCCAGCGCCGAATCATGACATTAACAGTTCTCACGACCTTCATAACTTCCAGAAAGCAGTTAAGCTCTTCTGTTTTGCTTTTTATTAACCTAACTTTATTTTTTAGGTCATACCAGATATTTGTTGTGTGTTCTGAAACAGGAATTCTAATTGAAAAGGATATTTTTAGCTTTGAACATCATTGCTAAGATCATGATCTTCCCTCTTCACGCAGGCTGAGGAGCTTGGCAACAAGGCTAGAGAGCTAAAGGGACTGATAGACGACTCAGAGAGTGTCATATTTATCAATCTGGACAGGTACACACCTTCATTGTACATTATTTTTACATTTCACATGCACACAAGTCTAAAGAAAGAGACATAAAACTTAATTTTATTTTCATTTTGCACTTAATCTGTTTCCTTTTCTTTTTCTTTGACTCTAAAAAATAGTTGAAAATATTTGAATATATATAAAGATACTTCTGTTTTTCTCGCTGTAGCCATCGTAACGTGATGATGCGTCTGAATCTGCAGCTGACGATGGGTTCCTTCTCTCTGACCCTGTTTGGTCTGATCGGGGTGGCTTTTGGAATGAATCTAACCACAGCATTTGAAGATGTAAGTCCCTGCGCTGTTAAATGTTTATATGTTACATTGTTTGAAATCCAGCCTCTAAGTGTGGACCTATCTTTTTCTGTCACAGGACCCTCGTGCTTTCTGGCTGGTAACTGGCTTCATGTTTTTAGGCAGTGGGCTGATATGGAGACGCCTCTTATCATTTCTAGGACGGCATCTAGAACCTTCAATCCCACCATTGGTAATCCAGATTTAATACTCCCACTACACTCTATTCTATGTGTTTTTAGATGCCTTCAGCTTTATGAATTTATGAATATGCATAAGAATAATGTGTTTTGCACATTGTGTTATGTCACGACCACATCTTGAGAGTAATTCATGGGGATGTCATGCAATAGACTGACACAAGCTCATTTAAAGTTACTAATTAAATGACTTTTGAAGGCTAGTTTTATTTGGGAGTAGCTGTTATTTTATTTGAAAAAAGCTTTGTGTTGATCTATCACATAAAACCAAAGCAATCTGGTTCTTCCGTGACAAAGTGTTGAATAATTTTAACACTTTATTTCCATCCCAGGCAAGATTCCTTTTTATACTCCTATTAGTTTCTGTGCAGACTTGTATCTTGTTATGCCATAGGAATGAATGTTTTTATTCCTCACACAGATCCCTCCCATTTGGAAAAGAAACATAAAACCATCAGATATGAAGCCTGGAGTCAGATGAGGTCCTGTTGCAACTTAGAAAAAAAGCGAGCAGAGCCTGCAGCTGTGAAGACGATCGTATCACCACGTCTAAAACGGGAGTCAAGATACCAGGAGTCTCGTCTCTTTGTGTCCCTCTCTTGTACTAGTAGAGGTTGTGTCCATGTTACTCTTTATTATTGGGTTATTTTTGATCATCAATTGTAATTTCATAACTGATTTTATTTAGACTAAAGACACATAGAATATCTCTGAGTTTCTGGTGTTAAAGCCATAGAAGATGAGTGGCAGAGCTGGACCTGAAACAGATTACCAACCTAGACAGGAAAGGAGCTGTATTTCAAAAAGAGACTCGTTCAAGAAAACATTTTTATTTATTTTAATATGAAATTTAAGTAGACATGATAAAAGTTTAATGTCAGCCTCTAGCTTATACATAAAGAAAAGCTTTATTTTAAACCAGAGTGTTTACAGTGCTGCACTCACTGCTTTGGAAAGAATGACTTTATCAGATGACAATCTGGTATGTGCAGTGATTGCCAACATGTGTCATTAAAATGTTCTAATGTACAACAACTGGTTTGCGTCATTTCTGATTAAAACAGTGGCTAAGCAGCCTCACCAGTTTGTTCTGAGTTAAAAAGATTAGCAGAGTATTTACATGAAGTAGTTTAAGACTTCATAGCTGCTGATGACTTTGTTGTGTCACTAATCGTATCCAGGATGCTAATGGTAAAACATCTGTGGAAACATGAAAATCTCTTTGATTAAAAGGTTTTATCACGTTAGATACATTAAACCTGAACTTTGCCTTAGCAAATTGAAAGTATTGACCAAAAGTTACTTATGGCTAAATAGCAGGTAATTTTGGAAGCTGATTACATTGTTATTATTTTAACCTGTCAGGATGCTTATGTTTGTAAAAAAAAAAAAGTTAGTTAACGAAGAAAAGTAGTTGCTTTGCAGTAAGTTATAAAACAAATATTTTAATATGTTAAAAATATTACATTTGTGTGATTATCAGGGAGGACATGCAGTGACTTTTCATGCAGTTGAAAAAATATATTTAAAAACAAATTCATCTACACTATTTTAATGGTTTGGATTAAAATATTCAATAATATATGCCATTATAACAGTAATTATTTCTATATATTAAAACTGCTGATTTTGGATAACCAAATGTAATATTTTAGTTTGTTATTTCGTTTATTTGCAGTCTTTGAAGTTGATTACCCTATGTTTTAGTTCAGATGTAATGTGTTCCTATTAATAAACACAGTTTATTATCAAAGATAATACCCTGAGACAATATACAACCATTTTTTTTTTGATTATGGTTTAGAAATTATGGATGAAAAGCTATTGAAACTACCCTGAACATTTATAGTTATATATTTGCCTCCTTTTAAACTATTAGCAGAGATAAAAACATTTTCCCTGCACTGAGAGACCTTAAGAACCAATGTATGACTTGAATAGAATAGAATTTAACTTTATTGTCATTACACTTTTACAAATACAAAGCAGCAAAATGTAATTTGTATTTATCTAGGTACTATACAGGATATTAATATTTATTTACCTATATACATATATTTACTTGAATGCATCTATTTATATATAAATATATATACAGGCTAAGATATTTCAAAAATCAACCCATCCCATCAATACTTGGTAGGGAATCCTTTTGCAGAAATGACTGCTTCAGTTCGGCGTGGCATGGAGGCAATCAGCCTGTGGCACTGCGGAGGTGTTATGGAGGCCCAGGATGCTTCGATAGCGGCCTTTAGCTCATCCACAGTGTTGGGTCTTGCGTCTCTCAACTTTCTCTTCACAATATCCCACAGATTCTCTATGGGGTTCAGGTCAGGAGAGTTGGCAGGCCAAGGAGCACAGTGTTACCATGGTCAGTAAACCATTTACCAGTGGTTTTGGCACTATGAGCAGGTGTCAGGTCGTGCTGAGAAATGAAATCTTCATCTCCATAAAGCTTTTCAGCAGATGGAAGCATGATATGCTCCAAAATCTCCTGGTAGCTAGCTGCATTGACCCTGCCCTTGATAAAACACAGTGGACCAACACCAGCAGCTGACATGCCACCCCAGACCATCGCTGACTCTGGGTATTTGACACTGGACTTCTGGCATTTTGGCATTTCCTTCTCCCCAGTCTTCCTCCTGACTCTGGCACCTTGATTTCCAAATGACATGCAAATTTTGCTTTCATCTGACAAAAGGACTTTGGACCACTGAACAACAGTCCAGAGCTGCTTCTCTGTAGCCCAGGTCAGTTGAATGCGGCACCTATAGCCCATTTCCTGCACACCCCTGTGCACGGGGGCTCTGGATGTTTCTACTCCAGACTCAGTCCACTGCTTCTGCAGGTCTCCCAAGCTCTGGGATTGGCCCTTCTCCACAATCTTCCTCAGGGTCTGGTCACCTTTTCTCGTTGTGCAGTATTTCTGCCACACTTTTCAGAAATCTCTTCCATGTCATACCCACTTGCTTAAGGGTATCAATGATGGCCTTCTGGACAGCAGTCTTTCCCATGTTTGGGGTTTTGAGTGATGAACCAGGCTAGGAGTTTTAAAGGCCTCAGGAATCTTTTGCAGGTGTTTAGAGTTAATTTGTTGATTGAGATGATTAGGTGCATAGCTCGTTTAGAGACCTTTTTCATGATATGCTAATTTTGTGAGATAGGAATTTTGGGTTTTGAGTTGAGCTGTATGCCAAAAACATTATTATTAAGACAATAACAGACCTGAAATATTTCAGTTAGTGTGCAATGAATCTAAAATATATGAATGTTCAAGTTTTATCATTACATTATGGAAAATAATGAACTTTATCACAATATGCTAATATTTTGAGAAGGACCTATATTTTTTTCACATCCTAACTACTATTCATCGCTAGAGGGCGCGGTATCTGTAGAGACATACCATCTGGAAGCACGATGTGATAAACCGGTCTAATTTATGATTGTTTATGATATTTCTGTTTTTGTTGGTGTAAGAGGCTTAACGGGATTTACTGCCTGTGTCTTTGATCGTTTTCCCCCAAATAGTTCAGCTTTTATACTTTAATGAATGTAACAGGTAACTTTACTGAAGCGGCGGGTTCTTGAGGTTCGGGAGAAACTGTAGAGTGTTTTTTTTTTTCTTCTTTTTTTTCAGTTAAGTTGCCAAGTGTTTAAAAATATTTAGGTCGTCAACCAATTTCAGAATAATAAGCCAACCCAGCACATTGGTTAATGATGAACGTCACGCCGCGCTGACGTCATCGCGTAGCCACGCTGCTCAGCCTGTCCAAACATCTCCGCAGTGGAACTTTGCCTCACAACGAGTTGGGGAGTTGTTCCAGACGGAGCTGAGATTTACGAAAACTTCACATTTTCCAGAATTAATTCGTGTCGAGAATTTACAGCAGTTTCATTTTATTATCCTCCTCCAGAAAATTTTTCATTTTCATCTCTCTTCTGAGTTTAAAGTCAAAGTTTACATTTTTTTTCCTCCACTCTTTTTTTTCTCTCGTTTCTTTTGGTCGTCAAGATGAAGAATCTGTGGGTTTTGTTCCTCGTCGGGCTGTCGACTGGGTTAATCAGCGAAAAGGTAAAGCCATTGTTCTGCTTTCACGTTCAGTACAGCTGCATAGTTACTGATAAAGTAATGACCTTTTTCTCATGTTTTCTTTCCGTTTTAGCCGTTAACATCAGTTAAGAAAACCTCATTAACGTTTTTTTTCAGTTAGTTATTTTTTTCCCTTCAAACCTTCTCACTGAAGGTTAATTAAAAATTTTCCAGACCTTCACAAAGTGCTTTTTTTTTCTCTCCCTCCCCCCTCTATTTTAGAGCTCACTTTCCCAGTTATGTTAATATAATCTTTAATTATATATATTTTTTTTGGGGGGGGGCGGGGTATTTTTGAAATTATTGCCACAAATAACAAACGGTTATAAACATTAACATGGATTACGTTATCCAGTGGTAATGTGAAGAGGACTGATACTAACACAGATGTTGGTTGATAATCCTGTTGTGGATTGGAGCCAAGTTCAAGCTTTCCACCAGCTGGTGTCAAGTTCACAGGTCTGAGGAGCCTCTGGCTACAAGCTTTGACATTTAAACCAAAAGCTAGAGCCCCCAGCGCCCCTTTATTATACTCATTGTTTATGATCAAGATCAAGTAAGAAATCAAATTATGAATAAAAGAAATGTTTGGCTTAGATTACAATAAGGATCATCAAATTCCCTGGGTTGAAGTGACAGATCTCCCTTTATGTTAAATGTTATTTTACTTTTCTACAGATTGGCTATTTACATAGTTGAAACACCTGTAAATAAAAAGCCAAAACACATCTGTTTATTCTCTATTACTAATACAATTCTAAAGGAATTACTTCACTTCCCAAAAATCTTACGCAAGAAAATATTTCCTTTAGATTTCAGAACTGTACATTGTGAAAGAAAGGGAGCCGAAACCTGAAACCATGCTGGTGAATGAGAGGTGGGAAGCTGCTCTAGGATTTGGGGGAAATGCTGTTTGTATTAAATATATATATATATATATATATATATATATATATATATATATATATATATATTTATTTTAATAGCTGCTTTACTTTTAAAGCTGTCAAACCTCAAATTGGTAGTTTTAAAATACTTTATAGACGTTTATAGCAGGGACACATACACTTTCCTATTTTAAATGTTGCTGCTTTGTTTGTTTTTTCATTCCTTTTTTTTTTTTTCCTTAAAATCCCACAGTTGGTTCATGAAACCTCTAGTGGCCCCAACCACTACTTTGGAGCCCACTGCTCAATTACTTCTCTTGTACAGGTTTTGCTATTTACTTTTGATTCATTGGCCTGAAAAGAGTTCAAATTGGATCATTTTACTCCTGTTGCTGCTGATTGATGAACTGTAAATCTTTTACCGGAAAAAAAAGGTCTAAAGGCTTCAACCAACTGCATTTACTTTGATTGTTCATGCATGTTCTGATAATAAGATATTCTATTAAAGCAGATAGAAAAAACTACACAAATTCTGTTTCAAAATTGGAATAACATTGAACTAGTAAAATAACTGAAGTCTTATATTATTCAAAAAAGAAAACATAAATGGCACAGTGACAGGATCTGAAATCTGTGACTGTAGGAGGTGCTGCTCTTATTACCACTCATCAACAGCAACATATTAAGTATCATATGTCCAAAATAAAAGCTGAATATGGATGAGAACATATAATAATTGATCATATATAATATAGTACCCCGCATTGGGAAACACCCACCTTCACCATATATGGCGTTTGACATCATAAGTTGATTTTATAGAAATAGTTGAGGTCATGACGGAGGTACAATATATGCAGACTCATTTGGATGCTTATTGATCAGCGATTTTTATGTAACTGAACAAAAATAGTATCGAACCAAAAATGAATTTCTTATACGTGTCTGGATGAAAATCTTTGAAAATTTGCTTAAAATTATATAAAAGTGGCAACATATTTACTGCTGCAAACTTGGGGAAGAACTAATTTTCTACCAGGTTTTAAACCGCTACCTTTGTTATACATTACAGTGGAAAAAAAACGTAATCCGTGAAAATATTCAGGTTGACCTAAAGCAAAGTGGAAATCTGTATTTTCCTTAAATCTGCCTGATGGATGACTGATTTTATTTAATTTTTTCCAAGTTTTTCTCAGAGGCACCAGAAACGGTATTCTCTTCAGTTTCCTCCTTACCTCACATCCCTAATACAGCTCCAGGCCTAAATTACTGGGTGTGATGGGTTGCATCATATATATATATCCCTGCTTCCCTTCTCCTTGTGTGGTTGAGTTGGCTGAAGTGTAATTGGTTCGTCAGCTAGTGATGCTGGTCTCCTCTGAAAGCAGAAAACAGAAGCAGGCGTTTTTTCGCTCATGCCAGCATGTGGGCCGGTAGTTGTGTCATTTTCTGGATGGTTGACTCACAGTGAGTCCTTCTGGGCTAGTCCAGGCAAGCACGTTTCTGCGTGGAGCACATGTAGTTTTCCACGGATCCACACAAGGAAATAGGAAGACAGTGACACATTTTCACGCTGTTTTTCTTTTTTTTTAATGAGTCTCTTTCTACGCTTTAACAGCCGAATCTCAAAACAGTCATGTGGCTGTGAAATTACTTTCCCACTGCTCAATAAAAGACTTCATGCACTGTAGATAAAAGTTGACTCATATTCCTTGCTGTGGTGTGCTTTTTCTGTAGTTTCAGGTTTTGTTCTCAGTAATAGTCCCATTATTGTTGTATAAAGGGGAGACAACCACTGTTTGAACTTGTTAACATTTCCAGTTAAAAATGTGCAACCATATACAGCAGATTGTCTTATTTCCAAACGATTTATTTGCCTTTGTGGACTTGGACCTTTGGATCACATCTTCCCTTTATCACTAGCGCCACGTTGAAACCTATAAACAACAGTTAATGTCACATTTTAGATGTTTGGAAAAATACATTCAACTTAAACATCACAAAGACTTGGTGAGCCATAATTACTCTGTATTTTTTTTTTTCATTGCTGACCCAAGCTGTTAAAAAAAAACAAAAAAAAACAGATGCCTTGATGTTGAGGAGGGGTTAAACATTTTGTTCTTTGTAGGCTTAATCAAACATACACCCTCTTTACACAGCATTGTGTAAAGCAGGTATCTGGCTGACGACGACAGGCTCTCTGTGTGCTTTGGCTCGTTACACAATCTCCCTCTTGTCCCTACTCACTGGCCTCCCATCTCCCAGGAGAAATATTTAGATATTACCCCCAGAAACACATGATATGGGGGTTGCTCGATTTTATAACTTACTTACCCCTGCTGAATGTTTAAATAGCTGTGCTGCTCTGCTCCAGCTGTTTCCAGTAAACTGCCTTCGGTTGGACAAAGTTTTAGAAAAACCACACTAGTATATACTGGATGTATGTTCTGTATAAGTGTGTTTTCCAGATGTTTGACCTTTGTGACACATCTTCTAGTAAACTCTGACAAAACACTTCCCTTACATGGGATTCACTTGGTTACATTCTGGATAAAAAGTCTTACAGTGTTTCTTTGATTAGTAGAAAAGACAGTGTGTAATATTAAGTAGTGTTCTGATTCTCCCCTAAATTGAACCTTTAGATACCGATTTTAACATTTCTTTTGAAGGATTGCCTTAACTGACTGACTAATGCCAAGTTTCAGATTTCTTTAGGCTGTCTGCCAATTTTCTCTCTAACTGGTGATGACCTTTGTTATATTTGAAAATGAAACTTTGTAAACGTTGACTCTAGAGGAGAATATGTTCTGGAAATCCCTTCACAGTGGAAGTGTAACAGTAAACAATATGATTAAAAGTCAGGCCTAATTTACACATCAAAGTAGATGATCTTAAGCTTTATTTCATTTTCATTGAGCTAGAATCAATTGCTATGGGAGCATTATATTTATTTTAGTTTATAAAATCATTTTATGGTCTTCAGTTTTCAACTGGCTGATCACTGCTCAGAGTGGATGAAGGAAAAGGTAGGTTTTCTGACAGGGAATCATTATTCCTTCTGGTTTCTTTTTATGGGTCATCACATATGTGCAGCATTGTTGGAGTAGCAAAATATAAGGAAAGCAAACAATTTCAATGTTTTTTTTTTGTTGTTGTTTTTTTTGCGTATTGCGATGATTAGAAGTTTGAACTAATCCACATTCACCCTACCTTTTTTCTTTGTGATGTTTGCAGCACTCTGCAAATTTAAACATGTGATTTGTTTAAACCAGCTTCATTATTAATTTCAGTAGCACTTCTTTTCCAGTCAGACTTGAAAAGGTTCCTCTATTGAGGTCGTAAATTCAGTGTTTGGCAGAGATATTCACACCCACAGAACCATCTCACCCTTTGCCACATCACAACCACAAACCTCATTGTGACGCACAGTAGTGGCAGCATGCTGTGGGAATGCTTTTCTCCAGCACCAACAGGGGAGCTGTTAGACTTGAAGGGAAGAAGTTTTGGATCAAATAAAGGATAATCCTTTAAATCCTCATGGAGCATTGAGACTGGGGTGGAGGTCTCCCTTCCAACAGGAGATCACTAAACCTACTGCCAGAGCTATGATTCAATGCTTCAGATAAAAACACAATCTACTGTATTTCTTAGCGTGTTCCAGTATAGTGGGACCAGTGTGTCCAGATTTTAAAACTTAAATTCCGTTCAACTGAATCTGAACTCATTTATTTTTTAGATACAAGGAATGTCAGAAACTCTCCAAAAGTCATTGCTGCAAAAGACTGCTGGACAAAGTATTTACTCATTGGGGCGGGTTACAAATGTGTGTCACACTTTACTAATTTTTGTTAGTAAAAAAAAGAAAAAAGAATATTTGATTAAACCCACATGGGCTTTCTCTCTCTGCACCATCTTTGACTACTTGTTGTTGGGTTACTGAGGCTTTATCTCCTTGCCTTTATCTGCGTAGCCGCTGATTTCTAAAGCCTCCAAATCATTTTTAATCTGTGGCTAAAACTCTATGAAAAGAGAAGCTTCCTGTTATTCTTAATGTTGTGCATTACAATGTAAAGTGGAGTTTATATGCAGGAGCGTTAGGTATGCAGTTACTGTCCTAATGAGTTTCCAACTGTGTCTGTAGTTGTTTCTCTTTTCTCACCAATCTGATGTTGACAGGGAACCATTTTTGCATTAAGGTCTCTTTTTAATGCTAAAGTGAAGTCCTAAACAGTAGTAGTAAAAGGCAATTGTTTCCCTGTCACACCTTTGTTGTCTATAGCACCTGTCTAATCAAACAGATAACTTTTTCTGTTCCTCTTCTTCCGCTCTCTCCCTTCCCTTTCTCCAGGCTTTCCCCTCTCTAACTCGGCACCTGTGTTAGTGGAAGCATAGTATACATACCAGACATAGCTCAAGTCTCAATGGACCATATTCATCCATGTCTGTGTGTGTGTCTTTCTGTCTTAACACCAACTGTGTGATTCGCTTCCTCCTCCCTTCACTTTTTGATTTGCGATGGGGTCCAGGCGCTATCATCGCTCCGCTGCCTTGGCTCTTTACATGTTAGGTTCTTCAATGCTTTTTTTAGCACATCACTTTTGTTTAGTGGTGGGTTGCTAGGAAGGTTTCCAAAGCAACAACAACCTCTCTGTCTGCTGTCTTTGAAGCTGCTCTATCTCCTCCTCTCTCCCCCACACCCACTCCTCTCCTCAAAAACACTTAGATCTTAGCTGTCTGGCTCTGGAGAGTATCACAAAATGCGATCATGACACGTGAAATGAGTCTGAATTCAGCTCAGACCTCCTGTTCATGTAATAGAGCGGCTTCCACACACCGTGGTTTCTCTCACAGTCAGCCGTGCATACTTCCAACATATTTGGCCCGTATACATCATTGGTTAGCAGAGGTATTGTTTTACCCTAGAACTGCAGATGGTTTCAATTAGTGGGTGGAATAATGGAAGTGTGAATTTATATGCATCAGTGTCTCTTGTTTCCTTTTCTTTGCCTTTCTTTGTTTGTCTCCCCTTCAATAAGTACTTTTTTTTCCTGTTTTCCAGCTTGTTGTCTTGTCCCAGGCGACTAATTTCCAACAAGATGATCTTTATATAGAGGAACCAGGATCAGGTGATCTCCCTGTGGATGATGAAGATGGAGATGATTATGGATCTGGATCTGGATCAGGCTCTGGAGACTATGGTAAGAGACTTTTATTACTCTCTATTGGTCTCATGTCAATGTAAATTGTTGTAAGCAATTAAATCAGTTTTCTGCAGTGAATAAGTTTATAAAATGATGTTAAAGATGGAGTAGTGAAGACATTTTTAGTAGTTAAACTTATAACCATGGACAAACTAGATGTAAAATTTAAATTAATTTTGTGATATTTATTGTGATAACAATAAGCGTGACAAAAAGATGTCTAAAACAGTTTAGGGGATTTCAAAAGTTATAAGTTGGAATTTATCCATCACAACTTATCAACATTTTTTTTTATCTGCATCAGAAATGTTTTTTTTTTCACAGTAAACAATGTGATTAATGCTCATCAATAGTCCAACACAATATTACTGAACAGACGGTATTTGTCACACTTGGCCATTGAAAGGATTTCTACTGAGACAGAGTCCATTTTCTAAGATTGGGTCACACTAATGTGAACCCAGTTCAGCACCCCAGAACCCAGAAGTGGCTGACAGCAGTGTGAATTAGTAGTGTCAGGATACAGCTTTTTCATTTCCAACATGAAACAGACAGAGCTTTGATTACTGACGAATACCAATACTGACTTTGTAGCATGAAATGGCTTGATCAAGTGATAGTAGGCCAAGAACAGTAGCTTTTGACAGCTGACACCATTATTATTAACCTTTAGGTAGGGCCAGACACCTCGTAAAAATCTGAATAAGAATTGTGAAATTGCAATTTGGTTTGGCCTTACTCTAACCAAAAGCATGGAGATGTTTTGCACCAGGGTTTCAAGACATTTAAAGTGTCCATTGTAGCTGGACATAGAGTTATAGTTGCATGGAAAAGGGATTACTTCCATTCACATGAATAGATAATAGAGTTCCATTTGGTTTATACATGGGCTGTCATTAACCACACTCCATAAGCAACAGTGATATATAAATGCACATATTTATGTTGCAAAAGGTATCCTGAGATTAGTCATAAAAATAAAAGAAATCATTTTAGCAGAACAAATCATATATGCAACTGTAATCGTTCACATTAACTGTATTTATTAAACCAAAGACTGATGCCTATAAAGGGATAAACTTGCTGTTGGAGATAAAAAAAAAAAAAAAAAAAAAGAATTTCTAACTTATCTGAAATGATCATGAAAATAGATTGAATAAACCTTTGCGTATGAATCTAACTGATTTGTACCGTTAATATTGGATCAGTGCATCTCTAATTACTCCTTCTTAAAGGACTGGAGTGAGAAAGTCAGTGTCATGATGTAATGTGACCAAAACTGAGTCTCTCTCTGATTGGAAAGTTGGGTTTTCTAATACTGTGATTTTAGTGCAAATGCTATTAAATGCTTGGCCTTACCAATGGGCTACTACAACTCAAAGCAGAAGTAGAGCATATATATCAGAGATATGCGGCTGATTCCCATCATCAATATCTGATTGGGATAGGACTAGGGTTGTCAAAAGTATCGAAACTCAAAAAAGTATCGATACCAAAATGTTGTATCCGGATACAATACTCATTTTTAAAAGTATCGATACAGTGCCACCACCAGTGGCACCTAAGCAGTCATTCATCTAAAGTGCAGAATAGAGGACAATGCACTTTCTGAACACTGTGTGATTGAATAATTCTCTGCACTTTTCAGTTTCAGACTTTTTTTTTTTTTTTGTAACAGGTGCAGCTGCTGAGAATTATTTTTGTTTTTTAACCAGTTTGGCTAGTGTTATTGTTATGTGTGCAAAGCATAGCCAAGGAAGGAACACTTCATTTAAGTTTTTTATCAAGCTTGCTTAATATTGTGCACAGCATACAACCGTTATTGTATTTATTTATTGTATTTTATTTATTAATGAAAATTTTCTGCAGAATTTTGGAGTCTTTGTTTTTATCCTTGTGGTATCGAAAATGGTATCGAGTATCGAATATTTTCCTTAGTATCGGTATCGAGTTGAAAAGTTTAGTATCGTGACAACCCTAGATAGGACATCCCTAGTGTGAATGCATGCTGGTCCCTAAAGAAGGTCCTACAGAAGGATGGGAGAGTGTGTATAGTGGACATTTCCATTTGTGACTGCATGATCTAAAAATCTGGGTGTGAAATCAAATATTCCAGCTCAAGATGTGATTTTTCTCATTATTACATTACATCACATGTAAGGCTTTAACGTGGGATATTCATAATTGGCATGTTTTCACTGTATTTTCATGCATTTTGCTTTTAAAAACCAAAATAAGTCATTTCCTGTAGATAAACAGATCCCAATTTTTCCTCTGTTTATTTTTTCCTACCATGAGTAGTGGTTAGAATTTTTACTTGTATTTTTTTTTTTTATTAGCTTCTTACCACTGATTTCTTCTTTAATCACAGGCCTCAATATTCTCTCAGATGAAGATGACATAATCAACATACTGAACTTCACCAAGACCAGCATTTACAAAGAGGTGCTGCCACTTCCAGTGCAGCCAACAGTAGGCTTCTCTCCCAACCCACCAACCACAGCATCAGATCCGAAGGATCCAGAACCTACGGCGGAAGACACCCACACTTCCTTATCTGATGACAGAGACGAGTCTGTTGAGGTAAAGCCACCTCACACATCTGGTTTTATTTAAATAAAATCTTCTGAAGCACATGTTATGAGATTTGTTCACTATTTGAAAGGTTTATTTTCACCGTATGTTTTCTTCTTTACGACAAGCCATTTAAAGTTCATCACTGAGGAAATGTCAGTTATTCTGTCGAAATTCAATGCATTATCTTCCTTCTGCATTGTGCAGCATTTAATCAACAGTAGAACTGACACAGTGTCGAATAAATAAAATAAAACACTAGATAATGTATCAGTTTGTTTACAGATGCATCATGTCTGGTATCTTTGTTTTCAGATCCCAGGCGGACCAACCGTCTATGAATCCCTCAGTACCAGTGCTACACCTGTCATTTCAACTACTGATTTCATTCTTACTGAGATGGAAGATTTAATTGAGGAAAAAAGTATCGACACTGTTGAAAGCGAAGCTTTTCCCAATAATGGAAGAGACAGCCGACGACACGGTCTCAACTCTCCACAAGAAGTCACCTCTGAGAACCTGTGGGAGAGGACAGAGGTTCTAGCAGGTGAGGATGGGTTTTATGTGTTGCTCATATTTCAGAATGTAAAGAATGGCTCTAAATATATACATATATTTTTTTAAAGCAACTTTTTATGAGAAACTTAATTTTTCCCATGATCTCTCTCCTCTTTAGCTGTGATAGCCTGTGGAGTGGTTGGATTCCTCTGTGCCGTTTCCCTCCTCCTCCTCCTCGCCTACCGCATGAAGAAGAAGGATGAAGGAAGTTACGTTTTGGGAGACACCAAAATGTCAGCGACAGCTTACCACAAAGCGCCTACCAAGGAGTTCTACGCCTGAACTGACCAACAGGAACTATCTAATCTGGAGTGTGGCTCCTGCCAATCAGGACTAAATATGGATCTTTAAACAGCTGAAGAAGATTCCTTCAGATGAAGTTCAAAGTGTCTGCTCTCTTGCAGTACTGCAGATATATATATATTTTTATGCATCCTCATCTTTCCCATCTGTTTAATTGCCATCTTTATTCTGCTTTCGCTACTTAATGCTCAGCTTTCTGTGCATAAAAGGGTCATAAGGAGACAAATGCGTTCCTCCTAAAATGCATTTGTTTCTCTCCTGGGAAGGATCATGGCATAAATATTCATCCAGCAAAGTTCTTTCAAAGGAATCTTTCCTTTTACTATCCAGCTGGACTATTCTAATTTTGCCCACTACTCAAATCCAACACTGTGCCTCCAGACCAACACAGCTGAACAACACTGTATGACATTGTCCCTTTTCTAAAGGAGCTCAACAAGAGGAGGATGAAAGAAACCTGAGAAAACACGATTTCAGTTGTTTTACTTTCACTTCAAACGGTACTACATACATTAGTATTACAAAGGTCTCATTGAGTTCATATTTGCTTTGTTACTTAACATCTATGTATTATATTTCATTTTTTTTGTGTGTATTCTTCTGTTAAAATTCTTATTTTTGTTATGAGAACAAACCTTTTCATAAGCTGCCCAGTATTGCCACAAGAGATTTTCTTACTCTGCAGGTTTAAGTGCGATGTTCTTTACTGTTATTCTTTTTCTTTCTCCCTGCAGATATTTGACACTTGTAAAAACTGACCAAATATAAACACCCTTTAACTTTCTGCTAACTATGCTTATTAATGTCTTCAGGTAATATTTCTGTAAGCCAAGAGATTTCCATTCCATAAAGGTCTCTCAGGTATAGCATGCTTTGAGCATTTCCTATATTTTCAGGATTATCCCACTTGGTGACTGAGTTCTGCAGGCATGTGGGACAGGTAGAGCCAAAGCTAATGACTATAATTCAGAACCCACAGAAGTGACCAAAGTGTGTGGTGACAGCCAAAGTACATTCCTTCCTGACTGTCCTGTGCAGGCAGCTGTGAAAGAGAGTTTGGAGTTAAAATAAAAACTTCTCTTGTTACTTATCTTTCTACTGTCAGCCATTAAGGCCTGTTTCCCCATCTTTAATACTCTTTTTGGCTAATATGCATGTACATAGGTTCTAATAGCTAATTACCTGATTTTTAAAGTTTACCTCAAATGGCCAAAGAAGCATAGCTTCAGTAATAATATAATATAATACAGGTAACAGCAATGACAAAAGGGTGGTATTCTTTTTTTTTTTCTTAACATAGATATAGACACACACCCAGCTGATGCAATACTTTAAATATGTATGGATTTTATTTACTTACATACTATAATACGTTGAAGATTTCACAGATGCTTTTTGGAACATTGATGCCTTTTTCAGGAGGACTAAGATCAGTGATTGTTGCAGGATGGAGCAACTAGAGTCACGCATCGTCCTCAAGGTGTCACCAAAATTGTGGATTTAAGGCTTTATATGGATCTAGTAAAAGAAAAAAATATATATATAACAGTTACTGAATTTCTGTGTTGGTAATGTCTTGTTACAGTTTTTTTTTGTTAAGTTTTAAGTCGAAGGTTGTTTTTATCTTCAGATTTGTGGGGGAGATTTATTTAGTTTTTTTTTTTTTTTTTTGCAGTTTGTGTTCATAGAAATGACACTATGAAGCGATCTAAATGCAAACAAAAAACTACCTATTCACTGTGGCTGGGATAAACGGGAGGATGTGGTCACCGTGGTGTCTAGCGAACATTTGAACCGTCAGTGCCTCTTGCAGTGCTTTCATTTGCTTTCATCTGCTGTGCTGTTACAGTATTATTGTCAGGCTTTGAACTTTGAGCTGCACTCCGTCAAAATTTGAGGGCAGCTCAAAGTTAGATGTCACTGTGACTGGACTGTAGAAAACATGGTCCATTGAAAAAAGATTAGCATTTGTTACAAGCTTGTTGGTTAAGAGACACAGTTATGTATGTTTCAACTTAAACAGCAAGTAAATAATTCTTTGAATTATACATAATTTATATTATAATATTCTCTTTTAAAATTACCACATTTAGCTGGTTATAATCTAGTTGACAGATGTTTCAGTCTTGATTTGCAGCATAGAAAGCATTTATCTAAAATTTTAGAGAATTAATGAGTAGACCACGAAAATACAGCATGTTAAGAATAAAAAGTGTCCTTTTTGTTGTTAAAGATAAATGTGGTCAAAAGAACAACTGTGAGGACCAATCAAGCGTCGAGTGGTGGGAAAGGCAGATGAATTGTGGAGGAGCTGTGTTCTGATAAAATTTACTGCTTAATAAAAATGTGACTTTAATAAAAAGTTGAATGTGGCTTTATTATTTATTTTCTAAATAATTCTTAATTCTGCACCCTCTGGATCAGGATATTATTCTGGAAAAGCACTGCTTTTTTGTCAAACCTTAATGTTCAGGAATATCTAACACATTTTATTCCCAAATATAACGAATAAAAAAAATATATTTTTAAATTATTCCATTCATTTACATAGAAAAGCTATGCAAATCACAAGACACAACAATACATTAACATGGTGGTGGAGGTATGATGGTGTGATTCCAAATTCCAAGGACAGCAGCAAACAAAGTGGGCAAAAAAATCCTCCCCATTCATATAAAAGACTTGTGACCATTATCATTGTTAGGCTAAGGGTGTAAGAACTTTTCATTTTCCAAAGGACAAAGTTAGTTTAGATAACTTTAATAATTTTATTTTTAAATCTGCATCTTATATTTACTCTGTTTATCTCATACTTATATTAGTTTTACCAGCTTAAATCACTTTGTTGATCACCTTTTTAACAAATGTGTTTCTAAAAAAAGTGGAAATTCTAAAGTTTCTTTGTTAACTAAGTAAACAGCATTTAGATCATTCCTAAGGATAAGGAGTCTTTTGGTACCTGGTTGTATAAATAATGGGGTAAATGGTGCCAAAAGTCTAACTGTCCCATGTTCGAAAGCAAACATCCAAAAGTAAATTACAGGGTTTAAAAAAACTGCACATAAGCTCACATTGTATAAAAGTAGGTTGTGTGAAACGACGTTAATTTGGGTGGAACACTATAAGTGATTGCAGAGGAATGCTGGAGATTAGTGGTGAAGAAAGCTGGAGGATGTAAACCGCAGCTTGGGATGTGGGCTGATAAGTGCTGTGTTTTTTGCACTGCGGCCACAATCCATTCCAAGCACTGGGCATTATTATGGCAACTGAAATGTTTACAAGTAGATTAAGGCTTACATATTTAACTGTGAAGCAATTACTAAGAACCTTCACTAATCCAGAAGTACCAACACCATATTGAGTTAAACACAGTCTGTTGCATATTGTTATCATGCCGTTTTAAAGTTTTCTTCAATTCAACAAAAGCAAATGTTTTAAAGTCTTACTGATTATTTTGTTTGTAGAAACTGAAAATGCATATAACTGTATTTAGCAATCACTCACAAGGGATACCATCCGAAAAAGCTTTGGCTAAACAAGCTAGTCCAACCCAGTCATTTCAATGATTCAGGTGCAGCTGAAATAAATTGCGTTTATTGCAATACAACCAAATCTAAATGAACACAATACAGTAAACGTTAGATGATTATTTATAAGTAGAATTCCACTTTATTGTCATTACACTGTCACAAATACAAAGCAATGAAAGGAACTTTCTGCATTTGACCCTTGCCCTTTGGGAGCATTGGGTTGCCATTGCATAGCACTTGGGGAGTATTGTGGGGTTAAGGGTTTTGCTCAGGGACCCATAGTGGCAGTCTTTGGGAGTGGGTCTTGAACCCAGAACCTCTGGGGCCCATGTGCAATTCTCTAACCACTAGGCCACCACTCCCCCACTTAGGTACCAATGAATAATTACCTCTTCTAAAGAGTGCCATTTTTTTTTTTACACATTGTTGACTTTGTAGCAATAGCTCATTTTAAGCAAGCTAATGGTGACAGAAGACAGGAACAACTGTGCTAGTAAGAAAGAAGCCACCAAGGCAGTGGCAAATGTAACCACAGGATATATATCCATATTTCAGGCATGGCTCAAGGCGCCATTATTCTCTGTTTCTTCATTTTTAAAGGAAAAGTTCCGTCACATTCAGAATTCAAACTTCTGAAAGTATTTTTGAATATAAAATTATTGCATTCTGTTCAATAAGTGATAAATGTATTTAATTAAGAGTAATTTCATTTGAATGTGCTTTACTGGAGACATCCATGTTTGTGAAAGAACACTACTGCTACCTTCCAGTTTGTGACGTCATGGTGCGTTATCGGCTGTTGAGCAAGTCCCAGTGCTGTATCTGGTGTTTGTAAGAACGCGCTATTATCCAAGTCATCTTGAAAACATTGTTCTTCGAAATGTTGGCTACATATGACATGTTGTTTCTCTGGCCAGAAGTTCGATGGCAAATCCTCTTCAAGTTGGTAAACCAATGACAGATCCGTCCGTGAAGGATCATGAATTAGAAAGGTGAAATCACTCCAATTTTTTTTTCAGTTATACCAGATGTATTACAACATCCAACTGCCATGCATGTGGGCATTGTCAGTTGAACTATAGCTCTCGCAAATTTCAATGGTTTATTTAGCATTCACTTATAAATTTTAGGTATAGATAATGAACCAGTCCTTGCTGGCTGGGTTTTTCCTTTAACACAGCAGTAAGATTTAGGTGCAGAAAACATGAAGTTATGGAAAAAAAAGTGTTTCCTTTGCAGTTTTACGAAATATACTAATTTTGATACAAAGGGAAACCACCTCATTGAAGCGTAAAAACTCTTTTTTTTAATCGAAAAACTGGAGGTTTTTTTTTTAAAATAGCAGTGTTTCCATTCACCGAATATATTTTCGGAATTACAATTTGTGCAAATTGATTGTCAATAGAACTGTAGCTACTGGCTCCTCTCAGAGAGGAGACACTGCCAAACAAAACGGAAACAAAAGGGTTTTTTCTTTCTGCTGTACAGAAAAGTAAAGAGAGTACAGTATACAATTACACATAGAGGCACATAGTGAGGAATGTATTCAAACGAAAAACTAAGATATTGCTTAAAGGTATTTGCAGCAATAATTATGACTTCAACCAGAAAAGAGACACATTCAAACAAAGAAGCACAGAGGCGAGTTTACACAGGAAAAAAAGTACACAAAGTCCATGGCAGTAGTAGCCATCTCAGTCTAGTAAGGGAAAAAAGCATGAACATTAAGTCAATAGAACGCTCCATGGTAAACAAAAAGCACACATAGTGATGGCACCAAAGGGTCCATGACTTATTTAAGTAAAGAGATACAGCTAAAGCATGAAGCCATGAGCCAAGTGCTCATCTACTAAATTGTAGTATCTTCTCCTTGCAGTACTGGTTTCACATGTAAGGAAACAGAGATTACACTTGTACGTCATAAATGTATGACAAACTGCTGCTCTACTTTTACTTTTGTTTCATTTTCTGTTTGTTTTTTTTGTTACAAGAAACCTACTTAGAAAATTGAACAAATAATTTGACTTTTTAAAACTGTAACGAGATAAAAATGAATTGCATTACTAACACACTAAACACATAACAAAAAGAGAAAAAAGGGAACATCTTCTGGGAACACTTCTTTTCAACAAAACCCATATCTTTACCCTAATCTGAGTTTAATATAGGAAAAGAGGATTATATAGAAAAAAATAGACATAATGGTTATACTTTTATTGTGAAAAACATCACCGGAAGTTGAGCTGTATGTTAAAACGTACGGAAACAGATAAGGCTGCTGTATCTCTGCGATTCATCCGGTAAATCCGAACTTCTTGTGAGATATTGAAGATAATAACCGCAATGGTTTGTGATTACAGCCTTTTGTTACGGTGTCTGCCTCGAAAATCAGTGTTTAAATAGATACCGAGCTAACACTTTACTGTTTATCATCTTAGTGAAAGTAAAAGCTTTCTGTAGTTAAAAACAGTAAAACATGAAGCCCATCTCTGTTCTGTATCGAGTGTTTTAAAGCTGTAATTACTGTGTCATACTGTGAAAATGCACAGTTACAACAGATGTAATATCGAATATTGTTTTTTTTCTAAAGTATTTTTAATCTCTTTGACATTTCTGCAGATGGAGTTGAGACTGTCTTGTCTCCTTTCCTTCTTTATGCTTCTCTGGCTTTCTGACAGCCATCCTCTCTCTGAGCGCCTTACAAGTTCTGCATCTAATACAACCATAAAAAAAGGTAATCCATCTTACTTTAACGGGTATTTTTATGGAGAAAGTCACAAATCAGGGGGATCTTAATATTTTATTTCATTGTTTAAGACACAAATTAACAAATAGATAAAAGTAACCTGCAACCTTTTAGCCACTTGAAGAACATGCCTTTCACCAGAGCAACATAGGCCTATTTAAACCTTTACTGTGTTTAATGACACCATAAAAAGCCAAAAACTACCTTTAACCCTTTAACGCATTACATGGATGTAATTTTTATTTATTTATTTTTTTTTTTTGGGGG